GCACAGAGCCGGGGTGACTGGTGGCTTCCGCCACTCCTTCGGCGCCTCCCACCAGCCCACTTCAGATATTTTGAGCCGGGCGCCAGGGACATCACAGCCCCTTGGCTATTTTGGGTGCTGTGTGTGCCTGAAGGGAGTGGGAAACAGGGAGCAGAGAGGTGGGAGAGGGGCTCTGCTGCGGAGATGTCTGATGAGGGGGGCCAAGGCTTTCAGCCTCTTCCTGTTCTGTCCCACTTGGGGTGAAGAGAAATGTCCCAGTTTTGCAGACCGGGGGGCTGGAAGCCTGCCCCCCATGAGCTACCCTCACTTCCATTCCTGACAGCCTTTCTCCTGGCCCCAACGCTCAGAAATACCAGCAGCAGAGTTCAGGCAGAGACTGGCAGCATTCCACGGGGCTTATGCTGCCAGTCCTGCTCGGGCAGAGCCGGTGGCACCGGCAGTGCCAGCAGGCAGAGGTGTGGCAGGCTGCCTGCCCCCAGCATAGGCAGCAGTGACCCCATCCCTGCTGAAGAGCTGTCTCCACACTACAGCTCGTCCTGCTGCCTATTTCTATATCCCTCCCCAAATACAACCCCCCTTTTCCCCCTCCTCCTTCGAGTGGTTTAGACCCATGCAGGGAGGACATGCAAGATGGGCTGTGACCTTCCTCTCCTGCCTTCCCTGTTGCAGGGGATGTCATACAGAAGACACCCAGATACTGTGAAATTGGGGTAAGAGCTCAAAACAGACCCCAAGCAAGGAAAGGCAGCCTCAACTGCTCTGCTGAGCAGCTGCTGCATAAATGGGGCCAGAAATAACTTTATGGGAATCGACAGGGCAGTAACCAGCCGGATTTACCCTGGCAAGCCATGCAAAAACAACCTTGGGAAAACAACTTCAGGTGAAAAGGGCTGGGCCCAGGAAGGGCGACGTCCACCTGCTTTCCGGGAGCTGGATCAAAGCAGGGGGTGGGAGGAGGCTGAGAGCTCAACTGCCAGTGGGGAGGAGGAGGGTGGGTCCTGCTGAGCCATCCTGGCTGCCTGTCCCTCCTTGGGAGCAGCTGAACATCTCCACTGGAACATCCTTGGGCACAGGAGTTCAGGAACAGGATGGGGAAGCCCAAGACACAGATGGGGGGGTGGTAGCTGCTCTTTGGGAGTATCAGTGTATTTGTCAACTTCAAAAAAGTGATTGCTGGAGCAGATAAGTGATGGGAAATACTGTCTGTTATTTCCTGTCTTTGTAATAAAACCTCAGCGCTACAGGCATGATGGAGTGGCAGATTGTAGAAGCTGTTTCCATGGGGTGAGGATACACCTTTTCTGAGGTTTGCAGAGCCTCTGGTGGGTCTGTGCTCTTGGAGTGGCAGCAGCACAGAAGAGGGTCCCTGGGGGTGCATCCCCAGGAAGCAGTTCTCCATCCTGCCCAGCTCCCACCCCCTTCACCTCAGTGCACTTCAGCTGCTCCTGCAGCCTGAGCTTGGGGTGGCACTTGTAAAGCAGCTTTATGGAAGTGTGAAAGGGCAGCATGAGGAGAGGAACAGACTGGGAGTGGTTCCCTTTGTCCCAGAGTATCAACCACTGGGGAAACTGAGGCAAAGACAGCAGCTGGCTGGGAGGACTACTGAGATCATGGGAAGGGTGGTGAGCTGCTCTCAGCAGTGAAGGCAAAACCTGCCCTGTCCCCACAATGAAGGCTTGGAGCTGGGTGCCTGTTCACTTGGCCCGTGGTTTCACTTGCAATGCAGGTGCTACTTCCAGCTCTGCCCAAGCATCCCACATCAGGATGCTCCCCTCCTGTGCCTGGCTCTGGCATGTGGCAGTGTTGCTGCTGGCAGGGTGAAAATTCAGGGCCCAGACAGCTCCTGCAAACAGATAACTTGAGTGATGGGCTCCCAGGAAAATTGAAAAAAGGCTCAATTTTTTTAATTGAGCACTGCACTCTTGTGCTCAGTTTCTGAAAATGTTTTACTTTAATGAGGGGCTCATCCGGCCCTTTCTCAGCCTTCTCCATGCATTTAAAAATCATCAGTCATGAGAATGACTTGGAAAAGATATTCTGATGCATGTTGTTTGCTCATGTGGTAGCAGTTTCCCTTCAGCTGCTGCACGTGCTTGTGCCGAAATGAGGTGTGATCTGCTGCTCACCACTGGCTCAGGAGTGTGGCTGGCAAATCTGTGCTGTGTCTGTGTGCAGATGTGCCCTTAGGCCTTGAGGCTAAGGGTGATTTTTTCTTCTGATTTTGGGATTTTTATCTTTGCAGGTTACCAAAGTCACCTGTGGATCCCCCACCCGAGCAGGCAACGACAGGGCCCTGCGTCAGAGACTGTCATAAACGTGAGCCTCAAATAGCTGTGTTTCCAGGGTAGCAGGGCTTTAGAGGGAATGGCAAATATTGTGAGACTGGCAGTCAGATTGCAAGAGTTGCTTTCCCTGTGTTCTTAGGGAAAAATAACTCTGATTTATTTGGAATCATTAATTCATTATTTAGATGTTTTCTGCTTAGTGAATCGGGGAGAAGTGATATTCTGCAAGGGAAAAAAAAGAGGAAATCATAGCAGAGATGCACTGAGTCATTTGTTTGAGATGACAATTAGAGATTGCTTCTTAAAAAGTGACCTTTTGATTTTGACCATCACCCAGAGGTGGCTGGGCAGGATCTGGGAGGGAGTTACAGCCTTGGCAACCCTCCCTGCCAACAGCTCACCCAGCCTTGGTGGCAGAGTCCCAACAAGTTCAAACAAGAACTGGCTTAAAAACAGGATTTTCAGTACACACAACATTTTATCCATGTCAGTTGAGGAACATGGTAGTTTTAAAGTCTACATGAGCCTTGTGTCATCACTTTTTTGGCAGAGCCACCACAGAACTAAAAAAGCCACCCAAAGCTGTTTGCTCTGCGATTTGCTGCCTGATGGAGGTTCACCATATCCCCTGCATCAAACAGAATTAATGATTTGGATTCAGGCCCAGCACCAGATGATCACAGTAAATAATTCTCTTTGTAAGCAATGTTTTATTGCACAAGCAGTGAGGTTTCTTCTTGTTTCTTTCCCCCCTCCTCACCTCCCAAAGTGACTGAAAGGCATTCTTGACTTCACTTTTATTTTCAGCCCTTGCAGAGCCCAGGGGAGTGAGTGAGCAGCTGCCTTGGCCCTGCTGCCTTTCCTGCTGCTGGTGAGGAAGCTTTTCCCTGGGCTGGAGAGGAGATCTCCCTCTGCCATTCAGCCTTTTGCCCCTGCACCTCCCAATCTGCCGCAGTACCAGTTGCCCTGGGTCGGGAGGAGGGTCAGCTGGTGGCACTGGTGGCACTGCTGGGGGAATCCCAGTCTGGGGGGAGCAGAGGAAGGCCTGGTAGGAGGGGGGAACGAGTCACAGGGGGGTTTGGGCACTGATTTTTAGGAGGCTGAGGAGAGGCATGGCCTGGGCTGTGCCTGGGGCTGCAGACCCAGCAGCAGGGCAGCCAGTGCTGTCCTGCACATCCCGACACTGCCCGGAGACCTGGGCAGGGCTGTGGGCAGGGCTGTGGGCAGGGCTGCTCCCGTTGGCAGAGCTGGTGGAGCTGATGGCTGGGTAAAAGCAAAGGGTCATGACTGAATCCAGGATATAATATACTCTAATAATGTGTTCAGTGCTTTGATTCACAATGTTTTCTTCCTTTTTCTTTTCTTTTCATACTCTAAGCAGCCTGAATTGAGGTGCTTCCAGGCTGCCCCACCCTGTGCCAGTTTCCAGCTGGCCACGAGCAGCAAGGCTGGGCTCACCCTGCACCAGACAAGCTCCACACCTCGATCAGCACACCTTTATTTTTAACTCCAGAAATACACATCTAAAATGTCCGTATCTCACCTGGACGTGTCACCTGCACCACTGCTCCTTGCAGCTGCCCCTCTCTCCCGGCGGTGGGACGTTCTGCACGCTGGTGCGAGGCCGTTAGAGGGCATTTGGGTTTCATTCCCCGTCGCCCACAAGGGTTACTGCCGAGGAAAGCACAGCCAGAACCTCCGAGCAGCTCTCCTGCGCAGCTGGAGCGGCTCCAGCCCGTCGGGAGGCGGCTCCGACTCATCTTTGCGATTTTGTTTTCTCTTTCTCCCGCTTTTCCTTTGGCCCGGGCTCACAGGGAATGTGCTTGGATGGCAGGCGGTATGTCTGGTGCCGCGGGACGGTGTCTCCGTCTGAGCTCCTCGCTCGTCGCAGCTCTGCCAAACCGCCAGCGCCTGGGAGAGGAGGGGGCCAGGAGGAGCGGGAAGGCTCGTGTTTGTTCTGGAGGGATGCGGGGAAGGTGAATTAGAGCTGTCAGCAGGAGGACCCTGCCCATGCCCAGGGAGGAGCCGCTGTTTGCAGGGTGGGTATCGTGGGCTGGCCGAGCTCCCGCACCGTGGGGCAGCTCAGCCTGGCACTGCAGTGACTTGTGGGTGCAGCCTGATGTACCTGCTCCCTCCCTGGGGGGCCAGGGCATGAGGGTTCCCTCCAGGGATTTGGGCTTCCAGGTGCTGGAGATGGCCTCTATTGCAGTCCACACAGAGCTGTGTGATGTGGTGGAGGAGCAGCATCACCTCTCCAGAAGCTCCACTGATCCAGGAAAGGACCGATTCCTGGCTTCTTGGGTGGGTTCATGCTTGGGGCAGGGTTTCCCCATTTCCCATTTCATTCAGCCTAAGAAACTCGGGAATGCTGCCCACTAATCCTGCCTGGGGCAGCAGGGTGCACAGAGGAGGCAGGTTCTAAGTGAGAGGGGGGATCTTGTTCTCTATTTCCAGCCTCCTTTGCATCCAAAGTCCATCAGTTCTTCTCTAGTTTCTCGATGGAAACTTCTCTAGTTTCTCCATCTTCACCAAAACCACAATGCCATAGGTTTGTGCCAGACTCTTTGCCGGGATGAGGCGTTGGCTCCGGGATGAAACCAGGGTGGGCACAGCTACAAATGACCTCCTCTTCCCCTCTGGAAAGGCACAGTGGAGAATGATGGGGAGATAGAGCAGGACGTGGCGTGTTCTCTATGTCTGGGGAGCAGGGGCATGTGGCAGCAAGGCTGTGTTACACCATGTTCGCACTGGGGCTGTGCCAGGCTAATAAAGGGGCGGCAGAACCACCTCTTGGGTGTGCCCAGGGAGCCAGGCAGGAGCTGCAAACACATCTCTGGCCATAGGGGCAGGCCAGGCTCCCCTGTGTGGGTTCCAGAGTGCTCCTGGATTCAGACATCCAGAGATGCCAAAATTCAGGTCTGCACCTGCCATCAGGTGTTTTCCAGTCTGAGTTTCAGGAGATGGTTGATCTGTCCCTGAGACACTCTCAGCTCAAGGCTGAGGAGGGGTGATGGGGTGCCCACACTTAAGTGGGGGTCTCGTGTTTTCGTGTTTGGCTGGCTTTGCTCTTCCCTTTGTCTGTCAAACCCGTTGCCCAGAGGCACCAGCTCCACCCTCACTCACCGCCGGGAATGCCGCGGGCAGGGCGGGGCAGGGTCTGACCACGCAGAGCCGCCTCTGGGTCTCCAGCCGGCAGTAGCGGTTCTGGTTGGAGACGCGGGTGGCAAAGCCCACGCCACAGGTGGCCGAGCAGGCGCTCCACTCTGTGCCCCACTCCTGGCAGGGGTATGGCAGCACTGGGGACACTGCCCCGGGGGCTGAAAGAAAAGAGAGGAGGGGATAAAGGGTGGTTGGAGCCAGGCTCTGTGCAGATGCCCTGCGGTGCTGCGGGCAGAGCCCCGCGTGGCAGAGGAATGTGAGGTGATGTTTCAGAGCCTGGGGTGAAGGGGCCATCCCCAGAGACCTGCCCGGGCATCCCCTCCCTGGAGGTGCCCTGCGTCTTACCTGCCCTGGCATCCCGGAGGAGGTGCTGGTCCTGGGCTCCGCAGATCCACTCGGGGCAGCACTTCCCCGGGATCTCCACGCGCCGTGGGTAGGGGCAGTCCGGGGTGGGCAGCCTCACGTCCTCCTGGCACAGCGGGATGCAGGTGAAGCCCCCGTCCAGGCAGCGGCACTGGAGTTTGCAGCTGGGCTGGAAAACTTCTCCATCTCGATAGACCCGGCCGTTCACCTCACAGCCCTCCTCGTCATCCTCGACTGAAGTGACAGACGGGGACAGGGACAGAGCGACAGAGATGTGAGTGGCAGAGGGACTGCTGGGGTAACTGTGGGGCTGGCACGAAGGGACTGACGTGGGGGGGACACAGAAGTGACTGAGAGGTACGTGGGGCAGACATGGGTGTGCAGCAGCATGTTCATCACCAAACCTCCTCCCCTTCCCCACCTTCCTTCCTCATGTCTCTGTGTTTTCAAAGGAACAGCTCACGAGCTGGTGGGAAACCTCCTGCCCTTTGGCTCTGACCCTGCCTTCAGGGTTTTCAGGCTAGACAAAGTTTCTCTGAGATTTCTCTGCAGGACGCCCAGGCTCCAACCCTGGCTGGGTGACTGCAGCATCCCTGGGACCCCCATGCCCATCCTCACTCAAACCACCCTGAATCCTCAGTCAGAAAACAGCACAAGAGCTGGCAGCAGCTGCAGCACAGCCCCATGGCCAAGCTGTGTGTAAGTTCCTCAGAAAAGGCTGCTTTTCTAGTCTCAACCACTTCCCTGAAAGTGCTGTGGGATGCCTGCAGCCAGCTGAGGCCATGGGTGGAACTGGGACGTGGGGGCATCCCCGGCGGGAAGGGGCTCCCCTGTGCTCACAGTTGCAGGTGCCTCCTGTCCCGGCCGGTGCTGTGCTGTAGTCACAGACGAGGCCCTGGCTCTGGTCGCAGACGTGGAGGAAGTCACAGGGCTCCCCCAGGCGCCGGGCACAGATCTTGCAGCAGCCACAGCCATCCAGAACCAGGGGGGACCCGCGGGGGCAGCGGGGTGGCACCCAGGGGCAGTAGCATGGTCTCCGGCACAGCTGGGCACACACCTGTGGGGCAAAGGCATCGCTGATTCCATAGGGGTTGGTTTTGACTGACAGGGAAATCACTGGGACAGACAGGTAACCTCTCAATCACGAGGGCAGATTTTCAGTGGAGGGAGGCTCTGCAAATCCATGGGAATATGGTGAAGCAGCCTGGAAAGCTACTGTCCCCTTTCTTAAGGGCACCTATGGAAAACCAAGGAGAATCAAGGATTCTCAGCACTCTGCAAGATTGGGTCTTAAAAGTACCACTGCTCTGAATACATGGAGCTAAAAGGTGAAGATCCCGTGCAGTGGTGGTTATTTAATGAGCTCAGCAGCCACAAGCAGCCCAATGTGAGGGAGGGAAAGCAGCTTACCCCATGGCTGCCCCTAAGGCAGTGGGTGTGCCCAGCTGGAGATGGGGCTTTGCAGGGACTGGATGCACGTGAGGAGGGCTCAGCACCTCACTCCAAACAGTCTAAACAGCTCTCATTCATGCTGAGAAACAGGATGTCACATTGGCAGCAGGGATCTGATGCCAGGCAGACATCACTGTGTTCCTCCCTGATCCAGCTGCAGCCTCTGTCTGTCCCTGGCTGCAGGATCCTCACCCAGCCTGGCCCACTGGGCGAGGAGCCCAGAGATAGGCACGTTTCTGTGGACTGGGAGCTATGTTTTCCCTCCTGGCTAGACTGAGTAATCACTTTGGCAGGACTGTGCACTGCAGTCCTTTGCCTGCTCAGCCAGTTGTCTGCCAGGGATGTGCCCACAGGAGTTCACCTGGGCAGGGGGTGTTTATCCCGTTGGCTCATCCTGCTTGCACAACCCCCCTGGCACACCTTGCTTTTGCAGGCAGTGCTTGTGCTCCCGACGTGTCATATCCAACAGGGCTGTTGCATACTGAGCCTGAAGCCAGGAGAGCTGGCTCTGCAGTTTGGAAGTGAATTCCTTGCCAGTCCTGGCCTGGCAGTGTGTGTGAGCCCCCTGGCAGCTCCAAGCCCCCCAGCAGCCCTGCTGCTCAGCACCATGCACGTGCTGCTGGATGCAGGGCCAGCACATGCAGTGCAGCAAACATGCAACCAAACCATTCACCCCTGCCCTGGTCCGGGTGTGTCTGCTGAGCCTGCCGAGAGAGTGATGGGTTCAGCCACACCCTGTGGGTTTTAGATACCATTTTCCTTTCTTTTTCAGTTTCTCCCAGTGACATCAGGTCTGACATGACCATCAGACAGAGGTAGGTACTGGTGTGCTGTTTCCCATTTGCAGCCATTCAGATGTTTTTTATGGGGCTGTAGAAGCGTCAGTGCCAGCAAGTGGAGATTAAATATATCCAAAATGGGCTGGGTCTTGTTCTAGTTCTGTCAATGAGCAGCATTATTAATGTGGCAGAAACCAGAGAGAGACTTGTGGCAGGGACCAAGGGGACTGTCTGTGATGGCCAGGTTTGGGCTGGCAGCACAAGGGCCTTTGGTGATTCTCACAAGCACCTGGGGCCAGAATAATTTCTCTGTCACAGCTTACCCAGGCAGCCAAAGGCATTTTTCATCTTTCAGGAGGTTGCTATTACAAATCGATGTTTTAGAAAGATTAGCCAAGCCATTAATGCATTTCCCTCTGCTCCTTGTAATTTACTTGTCTTTAGATGACAATGTGGCTCCTATCAGAGATCTGAACTTTCTGGGAAAGGAGTCAAATAGGCACACTGTTGCCACGACATCCCTGCTCGCAGAAGGTCTGCCTGGGGATTCAAGCAGCAGCTCTGATTAACTTGGAGCTGAGATGCCCTGAACTTTTCAACATTCCTGTTCTCTGCACAGGCAAATATTTTCACACAGAGTCCAAGAGAAAGAAAAAAATAATAAACCCACTACGACAACCCAAATCCTGTCAGAGGCATTGGCTTGGCGTGAGCGTCCTGAGAAGCAGGGAAAGCTGAGTAATGCCAGGGCTGCTTGGCCCCTGCCTCGGGAGCCTGGGCGGGGATGGAGGAGCCTGCAGGAGCCACTGCTGCCGAGCTGCTGCTCGCTGACTGTACGTAGCACAGCCCAGAGAGCGGCAGGGACAGCGAGCAAACAGCACATTGCTGTCATTCCTGTGTGCTCCAGGGACTCACACAGCAGAGCCTTTGGCCCATGAACGTTCACACCCTGCTGCTGAATCTCAAATATCTCTCCCAAGCAGAGCTGTGCCCCCGTGGGACTGCATCCACATAGCCTGGCCAGCGTTAGCCAGCGGGCTCGTGGTGACACCCCAGTCCTCCCTGCAAGACCCAGGTGCTCCACAGGTAAAGCTAAAGCTGCCCCAGTGCCCCATCTCCCTTACCTTGGAGAGGATGCAGAGGAGGGAGAGGAAGAGGAGCTGCTTCTCCAGCTGGAGCCTCATGCTGCTCTCTCCTCTGCCACTTCAGCACATCACCCCCCAGGCAGTTTGGAGGCAGCGGCGTGTTCGCAGGTTTTAAAGCCCGGAGTAGGTCCTGCTGGTGTTTATACTCTCCCTGCTCTGATGTCACTCACAGGCTCCAATATAAACATGAATAGGTTTGGACAAGCCTCAAGATTTCCTTTTTTTTTTTTTCCCTTTCTTTTTCTTTCCAGCCCACATTCCAGCTGCCATTTCCACTCTCCTCAAGGTGAGAATGTGCTTCCACCGAGACAGTGAGCGAAGGGAAGGGACACTGTGCTGTCCCTGGGGAACAGGGCAGAGGGGCTGGGGAACCAGGCTGATGGGGTGATCCAGCTCCTTGCTGCTAGCCATGACTGGGAGGGAAGATTTATATGCCTTATCCTAATACTGATCAAGGTCTGCCCAAGCAGAGCCAGAATCTTCCTCCTGGGATTTGAAGGGGTTGACAGGGCTGTCCCTGCTGCCACCCCAAGACCATACCATGGCTATGCAGGAGCAGGGCACCCATCCCTATATTTTGTGCCAAACTCTGTGCATGGCAGGCTGTGGGAGAGGGGTGAGATGACCAAAAGAGCTGGAAAGGGATTTGCTGTGGTGGTTGTGATGTGCTGCCACATCATCCCTGTCCTCAGTGGGGCTGCAGCCACCTAGGAAGGCTGCTGGGTGGGAGGGTTGGATGTACATTGTGTTGCATTGTCCTGGGTATGTGATGCAGGGAAAGCTTCAGTCTGGCTCTGCTGATTTCAAGCCTTGTAAATCCAAATTCAGCCCCTGAAGTATTATGATCATCTTAAGCAGTTGTGAGAATTAAAAATCCAAGTTTGGGGAAAGGAAGCAGGTGCTCAGTTGTTGTCTCCCAATGCTTTCTCAGTCTGCCCTGTGCAAGTTTTTCTCTTGGCTGCTGTGTCTGGGGACACGAGGCTGGCTCTTAGGAAAGAAAAAAACAAGCATTTCAAGACCTCCAGGAAACAGAGCCCCTTCTCCATGTTTCCATTCCCCAGATCTTATCATGAGATATAAGTGGGGACTTTGTGAGCTCAAAGCTCAGAGGAAAGGCCTGAGTGTAAGGACGCAGGATGCCCTGCAGCTCTCCCTGGCTCCTCTCCTGCACCCCTGCCCCTTTCCTGCAGGATGTGTCCTGGGGCTGGGAATGCTGCTTCTGCCCTGGCCCAGGGATGGACCCTGGTGGCTGTGTACAGACTTTCCATGTCATCCAGGCATGATGAGCTCTGCTGCTAAATCCCAGATACTACATGTTGGCAAACCCACAGGAGGAGCTGAGTGCCGTACGAGCAGAGCACCGAAATCACACAACTGGGAATCACACCCCACCCCTCCCTCCAGCCTCTTTTCCCTTCCTGTTGCTTTTGTGAAACAGGTTCTCAGTCACCTGAGCAGCAATCCCGACCTCAGCTCTGCACTTGCCAGACCCTGGAAGCCCGGGCATGGAGCAGGGAGGGCAGAGCCCGGCAGGGAGGAGCACAGACAGAGCTCTCCCATTACCACCCCAATTCCCTGCTTTGGTTTTGCTTTGTTAGCTGCAGTCAGGCTGTTAATGAGCTCATGGTAGCCTGAGGGAACACCAAGCCTTCCAAAGGCTGCTGTCACTTATCCCAGCGCTGGAGCCTCCCAGGGGAACCCACTGGAGATCACAACCCTGACACCTGATGTATCCTGGGTGCAGGTTTGGCTCCTTGGGGTGGGGATCTCTTCTCCACCTTCTCCCTCAGCTCTGGCCAAACCCACCATCCCGTGCCTGGCCAGCTACCCACACTTCCAATGGCAAAGCTGCACCAGAACAGCACATTAGCAGTCCATGTTATAAATACCCTCTGGAGCACATACTCCATATGTGTTCTGTACCATACGTGTGATTTCAGAGCTGGTAATTAAGTCCATATGTTTTGCTCCACAGTTTCCATGGTATTATTGTCAGGTTTTTGGGGGGATTGTAATTTTATTTTTTTTTTGTGGTCAGTTGTGCAAGAAAATAATTGATACAGGGATCTGAATACATCTCCTTTGAGTTAGCTGCTGACAAGCTCTGCTGTTTCTATAGAAATGAAGGAACTGCCCCAGTGAATTTACATTTTAGAGAGCTGAGTTTTTCATGTGTTTGCCATTTAACATGCCATCATAAATAACATGGCAAAGCTCTCATTTTGCACACCTTGCTCAGCTGAAACTGCATCCACTGTATCCCAGACCATATTCTTGTTCCACCCCTTTCCTTTGCTCGAGGCTCCTCTTCTTTACTTTACTTCGTGTGTGGAACCCCCTCCCTAGAGCTGTCTGAACTCAGACTGCTGTCTGCATGTCCATCTCTGGCAGGGAGCATTGGGGCTCTCCTGGGTCCTGGCTGGGTCTGTTTGCCCTCACATCAACAGTGAAATCATGGGTCTAGGGTGAGCCCAGCTCCATACCTTGGTGGGGAGGACATTTCCTTTGCTTCTGGGCACTTCTGCCTCAACTCCCCACTTCAGAGGAGCAGGGCTGTCCGTGGAGCATGGACATCACCAGTGGCAAAGCTGGACAGACATCCAGCTTGGCAAAGCCAAGAGCCCTGAGCTGAAAAGGAGGTGTCTCAGGTCTCCCTCGGCTGTTGGACACTTTAGGGTGGCTGCTGGATGTTTTTCATGAGACTTCTGGAAACACCATGGCTTTGGGAAATTTTGAAATATCTCTGCTTTTGGCAGGATGGGAAGGTTGTTTCCTACCCAGAATGAATCTGGCTCCAGTTTCAAACAGCAAGAGCCGAGAGAGGTGGTGATGGCTATTTCCAGCTCTGTCTGGGCATTTTTATTCCCTCTGGTTCTCACACCTTGACTGGACAGCAGAGCCAGGCTGGAAGGACCAGCCACCCTGAGGGACAAGGGACAGGCCAGGCAGTCTTTTACCTTGAGGTCACTGCTCCCACCCCAGAGCCGGGATGGAGAGACTGAAAGTATTTACCATCTGGTGCCTGTCCAAGTGACTTGCAAGAAAAGAATTCAGGGCTGCTGTCCAGTTTCTGATGGCCAGGCAACTGCACCAGAAACCTCAGCTTCATCTGGGACCAGCTGACCCCTCTGAGCTCCCAGCCACGGTGGCCAGGCCAGCGAGGCAGGAGCTGGGCATTGCCCTGGCCAAAGGAGAAAGGGGAATGGTGCCTGGTGCTGGGAGCACTTAATTCTGCACCATTCCCCAGGCGTTTTTAAGTGGGTTTCATTAGAAAGAAACACTGACAAATGGGACTTGGGGCTGGTTCTGGTCTCGAAGTCTGACGTTGCCAAGAGGCAGGAGCTGAGTGATGACATGAGGAGCAAATGGAGCATCACAACAAAGGAAAGGCTCCACTTGGCCAAAACTACAGAGAGAGCTCATCCTTCAGACTGAGGGGCTTCTCATTAGCACAGCCCAGCCTTGCACCAGCTGTTGTGAAAGGACAACACTTTTACTTAAGAGGCATATTAAACCCATCAAACCCTGGGCAGTACTTCTGTGGGATTTTTTTTTTCCCTGCAGTCCAGACAAGAGCAATTCGTAACTGTCCCCCTAAGTTAAACATTCAGATAACTCAAAGAATAAGACTTTTGTAAAACAAAGCATGGAAACTTCAGCCAGATGAGGTTTTCCATTATTATTTGGAAAACAGTGTCAGAAATCATCATGTATCAAACATTAGGATCCTCTGGGAGTTTATTTTTGGTATCAAACATCATCAAACATAAACTCCTTTTAAAAAATCTCACTAGAAGTTTTATCTTTCAGACAAGATATAATCCCCACATCCTGACCTTGTGTGGTTAGTGAAAGACCCCTGGTATTTTTCATGGACCTGCACAGCTAACTCATGTTTCCTGATCAAATGGCTCATTCTTTTTGACTATCTCTGTTTTTCTTGTGGTTTCAGGCTAAAATAGACAATGTTTCCCCTTCTTGTCTTGCTCAAGGGTGCTGTGTGTTCTCAAGAAGCTGCCATGTCCTTTGCAGCACCGAAGAAGCTGCAAATTGAGGCACACACTGAGGTACAGCCAGTGATGGTTTTAGGTCTCTCCAAACTCTCTTTGTCACTGTGCCAGCTCTGCTTTAGAAGGGGGGATGTTCAGTGATGTCTGTGTTTCCTTCCAGCCCTGTTCTCTGTGACTCTGGTAAGACTTTGGAGGATGCAAGTGCTGTACCCACGAGGCAGCTGGTGTTGTGCCTGGGAAGTGTGTGGTGCTGAAAGAGGTTTGGGTGACACAGGTTGTGTCTGTTCCCAAACATCACAGCCCTTCACATCCCCAGAGCTGCTCTTGGCTCTCCATCAGCAGGAGCAGCTCGGGGTGCTGGTGGATCCAGGATGCTGGGACTGTGTGGAAGGAAGGGAGGGTAATGACCAGTGTTGGAACAGGACAGTGCTGGGGAGGGGACAGTGACCTGGGGCCAAGACAGCCCTCCTTAGCTGGCACATCAACCAGGCATGCTCTGCAAAGCCCTGGGTGTGGCTGGGACCTTCCCAAAGGCAGTGCACTGGGCACTGCCTGGCATCCTTGGCTGGAAGGAGCCTGGCTCGTGCAGGGCAGGGGCTTCCAGTGTAGACACTGGGCACATTAGGAGGCTGGGCTGTGGAGGACTGAATGGCTGCCAGTTCACCTATTCACACCCAGCACTTCAAAACCCCAAATGTCTGGTCACCACCCAAAACCAGCTGGCAAGGGGACCTGCTGCTTCTCCCCAGGGCTCATGCCAAAGGCTTTGCAGGTGAGTCTCGCTTCCTACCTCCACCCCAGGGAATAAAGCAAGGGTTGGGCTTGCTCTCCATCTCCTGAGCAAGACTGGAAAGGCTGAGACCAGTGATGCTTCCATGTGCAGAGGGGTGTCAGGCCCCCAGCCCTTCCCCATGCCCCCTCCTGATGCCAGAGGCATCTGGAGACATTTCCTGAGCATGAACTTCACATAAACCACCTCCTCTTGTCCACATCCCCAGTCAAGTCAATAAAGACACCATTGAAATCTTTAGTGTGTGTGTGTGTGTGTGTGTGTGTGTGTGTGTGTAGGATCCAGTTGAGAAAAACAAG